ATAAATAAATAAATAATTAAAAAATTAAAAAAAATAAAATTACTGCTTCACGGGGCGCCTGGGTGGCTCAGTCGTTAAGCGTCTGCCTTCAGCTCAGGTCATGATCCCAGGGTCCTGGCATCGAGCCCCGCATCGGGCTCCCTGCTCGGCGGGAAGCCTGCTTCTCCCTCCCCCACTCCCCCTGCTTGTGCTCTCTCTCTCAAATAAATAAATAAAATCTTTAAAAAAATAAAAAATAAAAAAATAAAATAAATAAAATTACTGCTTCAAACAAATCTTAGAAAATCCAAAAGATCTTGGTCTTTTAGAAGAAAGTGCGTCCCAAAATTTTAAAGAAAGAAAAACTTATATATGTACAAAAATAAGGGTTGATATGATGAAGGGATGGAATATGACTGTAAAGATGGAAATTATAAAAAATTTTATAAAAGGAATTGATAAGAAGTTGTTTGAAAAAAGAAAGAAGAGGATTTAAAAAAAGAAAAAAGAAAAAAAAAAGGGAGAGAATGTGATCAGGCAGGGCAATAGTAAACACCATATACTAGAGATTTAGGGTATATTTTAATCTGTTAGAAGAAACTATCTCAAAATTTTAAAGAGAGAACAACTTATATATATAAGCCAAAAATACGGGTAACTACTATGAAGGGATAGAATATGACTCTAAAAATGAAAAATAAAAATTTTTTTTTTTTAAAAAAAGGGATTGATAAGATGTTGGTTGAAAAAGGGAAAAAAAAATTCAAAAAAAAGAAAAAAGACAGTTAAAAAAAATTAACTTTGAAAGACTAAAGAATCATGGTAAAAAAGCCATGAATTCTATGTGCAGTATTCCCCTAGCGCTGGAGTTCTGCCGTTCTCATTGATGGGTAAACTTGGTCTTGGCCGGCTGTTCTCCATGATCTTCTGGGGAGGGGCCTGTTGCCGTGGTTTCCAAATGTCTCTGCCTGAGGGAAGAATGAAGCGGGGGAAATCGGAGGGGTAGACAAACCATGAGAGACGATGGACTCTGAAAAACAAACTGAGGGTTCTAGAGGGGTGGGAGGATGGGTTAGCCTGGTGGTGGGTATTGAAGAGGGCACATTCTGCATGGAGCACTGGGTGTTATGCACAAACAATGAATCATGGAACACTTCATCTAAAACTAATGATGTAATGTATGGGGATTAACATAAGAATAAAAAAAAAAAAAGAAAATCCAAAGAATCTTCATACAAATTACTAGAAATAATAGAATTTATCAAGATGGCTGAAAGAATTAATATACAAGCAATTGCATTTCTATATACCAGCAACAAAAAACTAGAATACATACTTTAAAAGACAATAGAATCAGAAAATGTCAACTTTTAATTAACCTAGAAATTAATCTAACAAAAAGCATGCAAATCTCTATAGAAAAATGATAAAACTTTATTAAGGGATATTAAAGAGGACTTAAATAGGGGCGCCTGGGTGGCGCAGGCAGTTAAGCATCCGACTCTTGGTTTCAGCTCAGGTCAAGATCTCAAGGTCCTGAGATCAAGCCCTGCGTCAGGCTCTGTGCTCAGCACTGAGTCTGCTTAAGACTCTCTCTCCCTTTTTCTCTGCCCCTTCCCCTGCTCTCTCTCTCTCTCTCTCTCAAATAAATAAAAAAAGAAATCTTTTAAAAAAAAAAAAAGAGGACTTAAATATACGCTGAGAGATGTTATATTTATATTTATGAAAACTTCAACATCATAAAAACATTAATTCTCCTCTAATTGACCCACAGATTCAATGCAAGTGCAAACAAAACTCAGAGTAGCTGACTCTAAAATGTATCTGGGAGAGAGAAAAGGTCAAGAATTTTCTTTCCAAAAAAGAAGGAAAGGTAGTGCATATTTGCACTTCTAGCAGTTAGGATTTACTAAAGAATTTAGAGAGTGTGTAACTAATAAAGAAAAGACAAAGTGACCAGTGGAACAGGACTAAAGAGCCAGAAACAGACCCACACAGGTATGGAACTTTGGCGTACAACACAGCTAAGATATCAGATTGGAGGGAAGGGGGTATTCAATAAGTGAAGTTGGAAAAAAAATAAGATTATACATAATGGAAAGAAAGAAAATTGTATCCCTAACTCACTCTATACACAAAAATCAACTCTAAATGAGTCAATAACAAGACTTTAGACCGCTAGAAAACATAGGTGATTATCTTACAGACCTTTGAGTAGAAAAGCATTTTTTTTTTAAAGATTTCATTTATTTATTTGACAGAGAGAAACACAGTGAGAGAGGGAACAGAAGCAGGGGGAGTGGGAGAGGGAGAAGCAGACTCCCTGCTGAGCACAGAGCCTGATGTGGGGCTCGATCCCAGGACCCTGGGATCATGACCTGAGCCAAAGGCAGACGCTTAACGACTAAGCCACCCAGGCGCCCTAGAAAAGCATTTTTGAAACAAGACACAAAAAGCACACACTCAGAAAAGATACATTTGACCACACTGAGATTAATAACTTTTACGAAAAATCTCTCAAATAAATGAATTTTAAACCTCAAAGTTTCCTAGTCGGAGCCAGAAAAAAAGTGTGAGGTAAGTTCATCTTACTTCAATCTCACAAAAGTTTATGGAATATTTAGTTCGAGTACACAGAAGTCAATGAATGGGGAACTGAGAGAAAGATTAACAAAAACAAATGAGGTTCTTGGAAACATTTGATAAGATGTCCACATCTCTGACAAGATCGAGAAAAACGCAAATACAGATTGAAAGAGAAGAAAAGTCACATTACAGAACTGGGTTAAGTGTGATGAGGGAAAACTATGGCAGTGAGACCACTGTTCTTTTTTCTCTTGGGGTACAGGGGGGCGTGGAAAGATAAGTGAAAGTACTACAGTGGGGTCAGATTTCCCATCTCCTGTTGCCGTACTCATCTGTCCAGCCCAGTCTCTCTAGAGAGAGAATATATATTCCAAGTAAATGCACTCATTTGTTCACTCATTCAAAAACCACATGTGACTCTCTGTCCAATGCCTGGCAGAGACAAAAGGGATTCCAGAAGGACAACAAGTGAAGGACTGGAAGGGAGGAAGTAACTCACGACTAGGTCAGGGGAGAAGCAGCTATTTGAGAGTCAGCAAAGGGAAGGATATAACTAGAGCCTGCCATCTGGTGTGGTGACAAAGATGTGAGGAATGACGTAATTAACAAGACTCACCATCCAGGACAGATCTCTAATACGAACAGGGCATCTGCCCTCAGTCACTTGCCTGCTTTCTCACCTCAACAGTCAGGCTGGGAAACCTGGAAGGGAACTTGAATGGATACTAGGATGCTCTACTCAAATTCCCACTTCTGGACCAATGCAGCAGGTTCGCGGCTGCTTCCCTGACTAGACATTGCTCTCAGCTTCAAAAAAACGCCTCACCCCTGGTCAGAGGGCATGCAGGCTCAGGACTGACTGACGTGGGAGCGCAAAGGCCTGGCTCCCTCACCCGTTTGGGACAACTGTGAAGAGCTCTTTACTGGAACAGCTGAGGCCTCATTGTAGATCCCGTGCTCCTACCTTCCTCAGTTCCTTAGGAGTGGGTGTGTTTTTTAAGGGCATCCCCCAATACACCAGCATGCAACTCTCTCTCAGTATGTTTGCAGGGAGCCTAAGATAAAAATTTAAAGGCCCTTTCTAGCATTTTTCCTTAGGGCCCAGACAAAGTGCTCTTTATTTTTTGGAGGTCATGAACCTCTTAGACAATATAATGAAAGCTAAGGACTCTTGTCTCAAAAAATATATATATATACATAGGCACTTAATGTAAACTTTTAGATGCTATTTTAGAGGGGTTTTTTTCCCCCTTCCTCCTCATTTTTTTTTTTTAAGATTTTATTTATTTGAGAGAGAGAGAATGAGAGACAGATAGCAAGAGAGGGAAGAGGGTCAGAGGGAGAAGCAGACCCCCACGCTGAGCAGGGAGCCCGATGTGGGACTCGATCCCGGGACTCCAGGATCATGACCTGAGCCGAAGGCAGTCGCTTAACCAACTGAGCCACCCAGGCGCCCCTGCCTCCTCATTTTTAAGGCGCAGCGCAAACTTTATTACCTATGTGAAGCTCTGTACATAATCATAAGATTAGCCACCATTTATTGAGCACTTGCTTTGGACAAGACCTGTGCTAAGTGCTTTAATTTTATTGTGCCTTTGATCATGGCATAACTCATTTAAAGACTTGCTCAAAGTAACACAGCTAATAATTAGCAGATACTGGATTTTAATCCAATTTGTTAACCTTGTGCTTTGAATGAATGACAAGAAAAAAGAAGGGAAAATTGAAGAGAGTAACTCCTCAAAGGTCACCTAATTAACAAGTGTCTGAATTGGGATCTAAACCCACGACTAACAAAAAAGCTGGTGCTCTTTAGGCTAAATGTGTCCTAGCGCCCCTCAGAACGAAAAAAGTTGATTTTGTCCCACCTCGGCCCTTTGCAGCTCCCTTTGTCATTTGCATTTGTTTCTACAGCGATTCCCAAAAGAGCTTTATGCGGCGCTGTTGTGCACTGCGGCCGGGCACCCAAGCCCCCAGGCAGGGACGGCACGCCAGTTGCCGTACAACATGGCGGCGCTATGCATCTCCCGCCCATGGAGGGGAGCTGAGTGGCATCCGTACTACAAGGCGGCGCTGGTTCTGACGTAATTTCCCGTCCGACGCAATCATAGTTAACCTTTAAACTTGCAAGCACTTCCCTTTTCCTCTTCCGGGGACGGTGTCCGTAGGTATGGTTGCTTTTTCCCCTTCCCTATTGCTACTCCCTCTACAATCGGCTGCCATCCGGGGAGTTGGGGGGGCCAGGATCCCTCAGCCTCAGCCTCTTGAACTGGCGTGGGGATAAAGGTTCAGGAGGAGAGCTGGTGGTGAGCGGGTCGTCGGATTTTTAGCTTCGGACAGCCGTCAAACCGGATCTCCCCTCCGGAGCCGGGAGTAGCCGGAGCTTACCGCTCGGGGCTTTGCCGCCTTCTAAGTTGCGTTTGGGGACCCACGAGTTGTGGTCCGGCTGGTTGGGACTGCGAAGTCGCAGAACATTTTCATATCTTAGGCCCACGTTTTATCGTTGGACCTGTAGGTGTGTTCAGGCCTTGGGAGGGCGGACGACCCGCATGTTCGGGTCGTTATTTCAAAATGTTTTCATTTCCAAGGCCAACACCAAGCAAGATAAAATGTTAATAGGGAGTATTCTGTCTTGGTTTGGGGGCTGTTAACGGAATGGTGGCTGTTTGGATCTCTCGCATTGGCCTTCGGCGTCCCTTTTGGTGTCTGACAATTATGTTTTAGTGTAATGTGAGTAAGGAGCTTATAACAACAAATGCAGGCTACTTTCTTTTACATGTCGTGTGATGAAGTGATTACGGAGTTTGAGGTAAAAAAATAAAATGAGGATTCAAGTCTTGTTTACGTTTTCATGTTACTTTGAGTGGTTAACTGAAAAACGGCTCCTGTGCGTACTTGCATAACCGATTTGCTAAGTGACCTCATTCAGCAGTATTATTTCCAGTTGATAAATGAGGAAAAAACCCCAGATGCCATAATTCAAAGACACTTTGATGCCAAAATATTACTTGGCGCTTGACTTGTCCCACATGCTACTTTGGGGCAAGACACTGATTCTTTAGCATCTTTTATGTGACAGGCACTGCAGTAGGTTGAGCAGGTTAGCTTATGTCATTTAATCTTGATGACAGCCGTGGGAACTCAGTAAAAATCTATTTTAGAGACAAGGAGGCTAGCTAGCCCCTTGTGCAGTATATTCCAGCAGATGGCATAAGTGAGGATTCAACTTGTGTGTTCGGGCGTGGTTTTCCTTTAAAAACTTCTAAATTTACCTGTTACTAGCATTTTTCTGGACACCACCAAACAGAATCAGACTTACTGAGGAATAAGTCTGGCAAATTTTAACGAAGTACCATCATTGATTACTATCAGGAAAACAAACATGGGCCTCCTAGCATTCTTACCAATCACTTTAAATATAAGTAGTTTTAAAGTATGGAATTCTTTTCATAAGATACTTTAAGGACTATTGTATATAAGAATATGTATATGGAATGTATATATTACGTGATGCTGTTTTGTTGTGAGGTTTGAATTATTTCTACAATGCAGTTTTATTCCATTCTTAATTTAGGCATTCAGAATGGTCCAGCGTTTGACCTACCGTCGTAGGCTGTCCTATAATACAGCCTCTAACAAAACTAGGCTGTAAGTATTTCTAAAATTTAAATTCATATTGTTGTTCACTCTGCAGAATGCTGAGCTTTTCCCTATTATCTCACTTCCTAGGTCCCGAACCCCTGGTAATAGAATCGTTTACCTTTATACCAAGAAGGTTGGGAAAGCACCAAAATCTGCATGTGGCGTGTGCCCAGGCCGACTTCGAGGAGTAAGTGATCCTTCTGCTCTGAATAACCAGAACTAGTGAGCATAATATTTTGGTAAGGGAATGAGCGAAGGAGAGGTCACCGCTAGGAAGGTTGAGAAGTACTTAAGCATCCATGATCCAAGTCTGTCAAGAACATAGACTTTTAAAGCCTGTGTGACAGATACAGTGAAATGCCTTTCAGATAAATCAGTATATCGTTTCCTGTTCTGACCTGGTTTAGTGTTTATACTTGTCACATGTTGAATCCAGGACAGTTTCTGTTAAAGCATCACAAAATAATCTCAATGTTGACTTTGCAGGTTCGTGCTGTGAGACCTAAAGTCCTTATGAGGTTGTCCAAAACGAAAAAACACGTCAGCAGGGCCTATGGTGGTTCCATGTGTGCTAAGTGTGTTCGTGACAGGTAAATATAACGTTCTTAAATGCATGTGTCTGTTCCATTGCATGCTAATCATAGAAGACCGGTGAAATTTAAATTAAAGTTGCATATTTTAGAATCCTCTAGACTAGGGATAATTGGTGCTGTAAAACGAATAAATGATGCTGGTTCAAATTAATTCACTTGCGATTTGGGGGCATCCTTATGTTAGATGTAGAAATAGGGGAGGCAGGTAAACTATTAAGTTGTCAGATGGGTAGATGGAGAGCAGAAGGTCTTAAAAGTGGGAACAAAACAACTACATGTAGTTCTAGTGTGGCTGGAGCAGAGTGTTGTAGGAGGTGATAGACAAGAGGTGGAAGTCACAGATCATGAAGGCCCTTACAAGACAGATTTTTAGCTTGATCCTTAAATACGGAGGGATTGATGGGTTTCGAGCAGGGCCGGGAGACCTTTGGTGGGCTGGAAACTAAAACTGCAGCAGGATGGATAGTAACCACATTCGTTCAACAAAAGGTGAGTGCTTGGGAAGGCGAGGCAATGCCACCTGCATTAAGACCTAAAGGCTTGGTGGGGAGGGTCATAGGAGATGAGCATGTTCCAGGTAGAGGATGTGACTTGGGTATGTGAAAGAATTGGTAGTGGCCTAGGTAGGAGTGGAAACAGTGGCGTTTATGATGGTAACGTTTACTGGGCATTTTAATGATGAACATTGTCACAGGTCCATCAGGGAGGGGTTTCTATTCTATTTTTTGTGAAGAAACCAAGGCTTGTTTTTTTTTTTAAGATTTTATTTATTTATTTCACAGAGACACAGCGAGAGAGGGAACACAAGCACGGGGGAGTGGGAGAGGGAGAAGCAGGCTTCCCGCCGAGCAGGGAGCCCGATGCGGGGCTCGATCCCAGGACCCTGGGATCATGACCTGAGCAGAGAGCAGACGCTTAACGACTGAGCCACCCAGGCGCCCCGAAACCAAGGCTTGTTTAAATTCTCATAGCCAGTAAGGGGCAGCACTGGGATTCATTCTAGGTTTTATTGAGACCCTAGCTTTTAACCTCATTGATTTTATAAACATGAATTGCCTCTAAAGACTTAAGTGGAAGGATTTGTGAGGTGGTTGGTCTTCACAAGTTAAGGAACTGCTTCAGAAAGTGGGTTGCCTCCAGTTTATTCAGCTAGTTCTATAAAGTGGTTGAGCTCAGTTTCTTACCCAAATCTGGCACCAAACTTGCAAGATCACTCTGCCTTTCAGGAGTTAATTTGTAAGGGGATGGTAAGGCATGTTACAGTAATTCAAATACAAGGTAAATGGAACTTCCATGAAATACAAAAAAACTGAACTATGTTTGAAGTTTAGAGGAGAAATTACTTCCAGGTAGCTGGAACTCTGGGAATGGTATTTGAGGTGGTACCTGAATGATAGGTAAATGTTGGCCAAGAGGTTGAAAGGGCATTGTAGGCAAGGAATGTAGAGGACTGAGAAATGAGATTGAAAAGGTACATTAGAGATGAGAGGGTCATGAATTGGTTTTAAGCGAAAGGGGTTTGGGTTTTTACTCCTTGTTCCCAGACTTTGCTAAACATAATCATGGGCACGTTTATTAAAAGTACGATTTACAGGCCCTAGCTCTTAGAGATTTGGGTGTAGATCTGCTGGTAGGCTATAGGTTAGTATTAGCTGTGACTCTGAGAGGAGTCTGGTCTCTGAGTAAGTTTAGGGGATTTTTAAGGGTCCTGAGTGAGAGTGGCATCAGTTGTGTTTCTATAGTGTAATTAACATTGGGGAGATTTGAAGGAGTCCCAAAATCCCAGGGATTTTAGGCTGCGTTTAATATAATTAGATAACCAGGGGACCAATAGGAGTATAAGTGGGACAGGTTTTTGTGGGAATTTGCTTTCTCTGTGGAGGTAACTTTGCTTTTAACAAGTGGTAGTGACTACCTGCTCTTTGTCAGGTCCTAGGCACTGTAATAATAGTGATTAATAAAATGTACTTCCTCTCTAAATGGAGGTTCAAAGTACAGAAATTGCAACTCCTTCCAAGTTTAATCTTCATAAAGCCTTGTGAAATGGGTGTGAACTTACTGCTGTACCTTACAGCAGAGAAGGTAACTTGCTGGTTACCTAGCTAGTAAGTAGCAGAGTTGGCTCCAGACAATCAGACTGCAGAATCGTTACACTTGAGAACGTGCCTCTTGCTAATAGCTTTTAACCCACCATTTTGGTTCCGCACACATTAATTCCTTCATGACTCAGAAGAGGGCAGGTGCAATTACATAGAATTGAGGGATTATCCTCCTTTAAATGCCAGCGTAGGAAGGAGACCTTCAGCTAAACGAGTCTAGCCATCTAATTTCAGCTCCTAAGTGTTTTGTCTGTACTTGCAGTTTTCATTTACTTTTAAGTATTCATTTAATATTTTTCTTTCTAGGATCAAGCGTGCTTTCCTTATCGAGGAGCAGAAAATCGTTGTGAAAGTGTTGAAGGCCCAAGCACAGAGTCAGAAAGCTAAATAAAAAAATGAAGCTTTTTTGAGTAATAAAAAAAATCAGAAGGCTTGATCTGTTATTGCTGTTGTAATTTGTTAGTATACCTGTTTCTATGTGGTGTTTGGGGATTCCATGATTTTTAGGTGATTACTTTTTCTGAAAGACAGGAATTGGAGGTCAATGATAGAATTTTTTGATGGCAGCTCTGGAAGACTTGGGATGGTTTGAGAAGAGTGGCCCTTAAAATACCTGGACTCTTTTTTTTTTTTTTTTTTAAGATTTTGTTTATTTGACAGATCACAAGTAGGCAGAGTGGCAGACGGGGAGAGGGAGAAGCAGGCTCCCCACTGAGCAGAGAGTCTGATTGGGGACTCGATCCCAGGACCCTGGGATCATGACCTGAGCCGAAGGCAGACGCTTAACCTACTGAGCCACCCAGGCGCCCCTGGAAGTTTCTTTTAATTCCACTGAATCATTTCCATAGAATCTCCTTCACCAACGTTGATAGGACAGAAATGACGGTGTTCAATAAGTTACTTGAAATGGAATCTTTTTTACACCATCTTACTTAAACTTTCCATTTCCTTGGTTCACTTCAGTTCAAAATGGTCTATTTTGGAGAGCTCAGAACTTCATATTCAGCAAATAATGAGCTCTTGTATACAAAACTTCATGTCATGGGTCTAATGAAATTCAAATTCTGGTTGATTGTTGAATTTATAATCAGTTCAGAAAATTAAAATAGCAGACCTTAGTTACATTCTTGAAAGCTATGTAATATTGTTTCTAACAACTCTTAATAATACAAAAGTATGTAAAGATAGTAAGGATAGCTCATTCTTAAGAGTGCTTAGACTGTACCAAGCATTTTCTAGTATTCTGCATACATAAGTTCATTTGAATTGCCTTCCAAGACCATTTTTTCAGATCATGTCAAGCTTATTTTTAATTTCAAGGGAGGATGGAGAGCAGAGCCCCCAGGCTGTTTGCACAAGCCAAGAAATCTAGGCGTCAGAAGAGAATTCTGTATATTTTGACCCTTTTCCTCAATATAGATGTTCCTGTTACTGGTGTGATGTAACTTAGATGTCTCGGGCAGGGGAGTGTTTTCCTCTTATAAATGACTGCCCTTTTAGGAAGGAAAAAGCTAACTTCCTGATAGACACAATTTTTAAACATTTTTGCAGAAGAGGAAAGGTGTCCTGGAACTAGTAAGTGGCTAAGCTGGCAGAGGAACTCCGGCAGTAAAGAATTTCTAACACTGGGTTTGCCACGTCCTTGACACTTAAAAGTACTTCACATCTGAGTCCCTTTAACAACCCTGTGATGCCTATGTTATCCCCAGGTTACAAATAAGGAAACTGAGGCACACAGGTTGTATAATAGTACCCAGAGCCATCTGTTTTTAGGATTTTTGCAAATGACATACTTAGTGGTTGAAATCGACTGTCACTCCCCATAAACACGAGATGATAGCTGAGGCTCCTTTTGTCAGCATGGCCTCAGACAGTTGAGATCCTTCAGGCGTCCCTAAACACCTGACAATCCTAAGGCTTGTTAAGTAACCAGGTAAGAGTTACCTTCTGTAATGCTGTTGTACCCTAATTGTTTAAACACAATATAAGATTTCTAATGGGGACATAACGAAAATGGAATTCTGAGGTAGATTAACCTCTCATGTCACCATGACTTAGGTTGACCAACACTGCAGGGACAAGTTTGGTGATCCTGTGGTGTGTTCGGTCTAAGAATGTGAAAATGAGTACTTTTAAAAATAACGTTGAAAAACAATGCCTTAACATTTAATTCAGTTATTTGCTTTGTAGACTAGTTTTTGAAAGGCTTGAGATGTAATTGTTTAATATTGGCTGTGGAGGGGATAGCCTCCCATTTGCCAGCCCAGCATCCAGGTGCTTCCGTCTACCACACAGGGTGCCGTAGGACAGCTTTCCTGAACATGGACTACCTGGTGAGTACTATTAAGCTGCAGCAAAATGAGTGGACTGAGAAATTTGAGAAAGCTAAAGCATTAAAGTTACATTTCAAAGAATTTGTTAAATGGTTTAGCCTTTTTAAAATTTGGAACATTCTCACTTTTATAAAACGCCTGCAAACAATTTGAAAAGTATGGAAAAATAGAATGAAAAAAATCCCTTCATTTCAGTATACAGGTTATCATTTAACAGTTTGATGTTTTCCCATTTTGTTTTCTAGGCACAGGAGAGATTTTTAAATCAAAGTTGGAGGCATACTATATAAATTTTCAACCCACTTAATGGAGAAATATTTTAGTGGCTGCATCTGCCATCAAATCTATGCGCCATAATTGACTCTTGAACATTTAGGTTATTCCCAGTTTTTCTCTTTTTTCAATACTTGTGAGCATTCTTATATATTTGATCATTTCATTTATGTTGATTGTTTTTAAATTCATAAGCTGGCACTGAAGTATGGTACGTAAATAAAGTTTAGTTCCTGGGGTTGTAGTATTGCTTCCTAAGCGTCTTAGTCTGCTCAGGCTGCTGTAACTAATTACCAGACTGAGGGACTTAAACTACAAACATATCTCAGTTATAGAGACTGATAGGGCTAAGATCACGGTGCTGGCAGATTCAGATTCAGTTCTTAGTGAGGGCCCTCTTACTGGTTAGCAGAGGGCTGGCTCCTTGTGTCCTCACATGATGGAGAGAGAAGCAAGCTCTCATGTGTCTCTTACAAGGGTGCTGATGCCATTATGAGGACTTCACCCTCAAGATTCAATTATCTCCCAAAGGCCCCCCACTACTTACACCATCACATTGGGGATTAGGGTAGGAATTTTGAGGGGAACACAGACCTGCTAATGTCCATAACATTAATGGTGTGAGATGTGCCTAATTGGTGACCCATTTCTTCACCTGTGTTAGTTTAGCCACTGAAGTTCTTAACCACAGGCCACACTTTGTTTGTTTTTGACAGTGAGAGAGGGAACGCAAGCAGGGGGAGTGGGAGAGGGAGAAGCAGGCTTCCCGCTGAGCAGGGAGCCCGATGCGGGGCTTGATCCCAGGACCCTGGGATCATGACCTGAGCCGAAGGCAGACGCCTAACGACTGAGCCACCCAGGCACCCCCCACAGGGCACACTTCTTCAGCTGCCCTTTACTTACGCCTCTCCTCTGAACCTCTCCCCCTCGCACTGTGCAGTCCAGCTTCCTTCACCCACCCCAGCACTCAGCAGTGCAGAATTCGTACTGTAGTGTGTAGATCGAGAAGAACATAGATGGGTAATGAATATAGTGCCAACTCTGCCCAAGTGACCAAAATGAATTCTGCCCTGTTCTGCGTTTTGATTTTGTGAAAGCAAAATGAAGCTTTTATTGAATCCAGTTCTGTGTCTGTGACTTAAGTATTCTCGACAGTTTCCTAAAAAGACATGCGAATGTAGTCAGTGTTTTTTTTTTAAAGTCTAGTATTTCTCCTTCCATTGAATTGCTTTTAAATTCTATTAGAAGGATGGGGGAGGGGGTCTTCCACCCTTAAAAGCAGGAAATCTCCATATGTTTAAATAAGTAAATTAAGTTTATTTTCAGCAGTGTCATAACATACTTAAAATTTTTACCTTAATGATTGGGAGCTTGGGTTCCCAGAATTCTGATAGTCAGGACTATGTCCAGCTTCAACTATAAACTATTTCTTATCACACCAATTAAAATCATATACAATTCTTGTGGAGTAAGATTGTGAAGCAGGGCTGAATATTAAGGTTTTTCTCTGAGGTGGATTACTTAGTAAGAGTTTATAGGCGTAAGAGTTTATAATTATTAGGTATTAACCAATAGAACCAGTGGTTGTGGAGTGAGCTCACTCAGGCTGTGAGAGCCAGTTGTGTGCATCTCTTCCCAGCTCTGTGTTCACTGATGTCAGGTTGGTACCTTGAAATTGGCATGGTGGGAGTATTTTACACCTGGGAAATCAGCAAATGCTACAAAAATTCTTTGCCCTCCTTGGGAGTTGGATGTTAAATATTACCAGCATTTACACCTGGGGCACCTGGGTGGCTCAGTTCGCTAAGCGTCTGCCTTCAGCTCAGGTCATGATCCCCGGGGTCCTGGGATCGAGCCCCATGTCCGGCTCTCTGCTCAACGGGGAGCCTGCTTCTCCCTCTCCCTCTGACTGCCATTCTGCCTGCTTGTGCGCGCTCTCTGTCAAATAAAGAAAGAAAATCTTAAAAAAAATATAACCAGCAAGGGGCGCCTGGGTGGCTCAGTCGTTAAGCGTCTGCCTTCGGCTCAGGTCATGATCCCAGGGTCCTGGGATCGAGCCCCGCATCGGGCTCCCTGCTCAGAGGAGAGCCTGCTTCTCCCTCTCCCACTCCCCCTGCTTGTGTTCCCTCTCTCGCTGTGTCTCTCTCTGTCAAATAAATAAATAAAATCTTAAAAAAAAAAAAAAAAATTACCAGCAAGCAACTGGCTATTACTTAAGTTATAGCCTATCATCCCAACTTAAATATGATGCTGTTAGTTTCAGGAGCTCTACATATATCTGGTACATATTTGATAATGATTTACACTTTAAAATTGTGCTTATTAATGCTTTGATTCTGAATATTCTGGAATCTGATTTTAAAAAATACAAAAAGTGTTTATTGAATCTAGTTGTGTGAATGTAGAGGAAAACAAAAACCTTGCAAAGGTGCAAGTTTCATCTCTTTAAACAATGAGAACTAGATGTGATAAACACTGTATTCCAAACCAGGAGTAGAAAAGTTAAGACAGTCTTCATGAATTTCCTTTCTAAAGGATAAGACCCACAATAATTCTGGATCAAAAGATGCTTTCTGGTTTCCAAAATATTAGCTGTTCAGTAATTTTGAGTAAATCTTAAATGTTCCTGGTTAATTTGAAGGATTATATAAATATTTTTGCCA